TGTACGATTATCACCATAAACCAGTTCAAAGTATAATCTATGTAATTATTATGCATAACTTATAATTCGAATACCAAAAAAATTGAGATTTTTTATGTTTGGCCAAAATACTTAAAAACTTTTTAGTATACCATATAGAGACATGACAAAAATATAAACATAATTTAAAACTGGGCGGTATTAAGCCTTAGATATTAAGTCGAATAGGAATTTAAAAATTAATTTTACGTGAAAGTTATATATAAACTTGATTAAACGTTTTGATCCGTCATCGTTATAATAAATCACGATTCTCAAATCATGTGTAAATGGTTTTATTGTCTACCTTACCGGTAAGTGGTTAGTCCCCAATTATTTTCGACTTGTTCTAAGCCAAGTATTGGTAGGGCCAACAAGTTCAGTTCGGGCATAGCGTATGGAATGCCCATGTAATTTTCCATGGCCTCCAAAATATCTGGCACTGCTTTCGTCATGTACTCGATCTGATACAAGCGGCCTAAGTGAGAGTACACGTTGACCGCGCTCAGGTGGGTTTTGTCGAATTGTTCGAATTCACCGACGAACAACGTGACCGAACACGTGGGCATGTATGGTGTCTGAGCAAAGTGAACCCATTTCTTGCTATTGTATTCAATCGAACCATCCGCGAGTATGTCATCTCTGCAATACAATGTTTTATATTATCCCAATCATGGTTTAAAAATTATGTTTAAATAATGGCCTATCAGAAATGGTAGGTGGCAGTAGATATGACTTTAAATATTAATTTACTCTATAAAATTCTATGTTACCTATTGTAGGTTTTAAAATGATTTCAGCAATTTTAAAGAAATTTTGAAAATGGTCAATGGTTTTATAACCTGTGTTAAATTCTTAATAATTTAAGGTACTGCAAGGTTCAATACGGTATAATACTGCGTATTCTATAAAAAAGAAGTAATAGTGAAATACCGTGTTTTAACATCTTTACTTACACGTAAATGGTTTCTAAAACTGGCATATTTGATAGAGCAATTTCATTCTTTTTAACTTTTATTGATATATTGAAAGGTGTTCTGAAATTTGGTTCATCGTAACAAGGGAAAGTACTTCTGGCCTGTGTGGTTTGAAATTGAGTAGCAGCTATCCATCTGAAAAAAAAAACGATTAAAACACATAATATAGACTTTATATTTTTATAATATGTTACACTATATTAAATATGAACAAATGTTGTAATTATTTTTAATAATAGTCTTGGTATTTATATTGAGATTTTCTTAAAATTTAACTATATTATATACATTTTTTGCC